AAAGTAGGGGAATGAAAAACACAAACTACCCCCCTTTCCAGATTTCAGGGCGATTTCGTGAAATCAAAACTCTGCTGTTGTTTCGCAAACGTTGCCATTAACAAGGCACGTGAAAAGTAAACACCTCACCGACACACACAGGCACCCTTACACACATAATCACACACTTAGTGGCGGATTTTTTTCCATGTCTGATTTTGGGTCCTAAAACAACATCCATGGAGAAAAAATCCTGCCTTGATGGCTTTTAACAGTTTAACTCAATGGTTGGGTTTATTTCTTTTTTTTGGCTGCTTAAATCATTGCCTTTGATTGCTGAGTCTACCTTTTTTTGTTGAGGTTTCCTGTTTTGTTTTTCTTGGTTTCCTTCGTTTCCTTTCGAATAACTTCTTGCTTGAGATGCGTCGCTGAGGTTTGAAATCTAACAAATATATGCAAATTTGAACATTTGTTTATTTATTTATATTCGGTTGAAAGGTTTGCCCTATGCCCTTTTTTTTAACCAAAACATATGAACATGCTTAAATATATTCCCATTAAGAAAACAGGGGAGGCCTGGGGCGTATGAATATTAACATCATTCATACGCCCATAAAGGGGGTATATTAAAATTACAGGGGCATCTAACCTATACTTTAATATTTTTAAGGAGGCTGGATTTTTTTTAAATATTTTTTAAGGATTAACCAAGGCGTGGATTTTTTAAAATATTTTTTTAGGGACTAACCTAGGCGTTTTTTTAAATACTTTTTTTCAACGACTAACCAAGGCGTGGATTTTTTAAAATATTTTTTCAAGGTTTACAAAGGCGTGGATTTTTTAAAATATTTTTTTCAAGGCGGTACCAAAGGCGTGGATTTTTTAAAATATTTTTTTCAAGGCGGTACCAAAGGCGTGGATTTTTTAAAATATTTTTTTCAAGGCGGTACCAAAGGCGTGGATTTTTTAAAATATTTTTTTCAAGGCGGTACCAAAGGCGTGGATTTTTTAAAATATTTTTTTCAAGGCGGTACCAAAGGCGTGGATTTTTTAAAATATTTTTTTCAAGGCGGTACCAGAGGCGTGGATTTTTTAAAATATTTTTTTCAAGGCGGTACCAAAGGCGTGGATTTTTTAAAATATTTTTTTCAAGGCGGTACCAAAGGCGTGGATTTTTTAAAATATTTTTTTCAAGGCGGTACCAAAGGCGTGGATTTTTTAAAATATTTTTTTTAAGGCGGTACCAAAGGCATGGATTTTTTAAAATATTTTTTTTAAGGCGGTACCAAAGGCGTGGATTTTTTAAAATATTTTTTTCAAGCAAGTACCACCAAAGGCGTGGATTTTTTAAAATATTTTTTTCAAGGCGGTACCAAAGGCGTGGATTTTTTAAAATATTTTTTTCAAGCAAGTACCACCAAAGGCGTGGATTTTTTAAAATATTTTTTTCAAGGCGGTACCAAAGGCGTGGATTTTTTAAAATATTTTTTTCAAGGCGGTACCAAAGGCGTGGATTTTTTAAAATATTTTTTTCAAGGCGGTACCAAAGGCGTGGATTTTTTAAAATATTTTTTTCAAGGCGGTACCAAAGGCGTGGATTTTTTAAAATATTTTTTTCAAGGCGGTACCAAAGGCGTGGATTTTTTAAGAAATTTTTTTAAGGATTTTTCTAATTTTTTTGGTTATTTCTTTATATTTTTGTCTAATGCCACATAGGGCGTATGACTACTGACACAACGTATACGCCACCTATTCCCATTTGAAATTCTTTTCTATTCTCATTGAGGCTTAAAATTTTAGCTTCTTTTCTTTGTTTTCCTGTTGTTCGCTCTTTAATACAAAAAACATGAGCCAAACTAATATGATTACTTCCGTTCACAATAACTCGAAGACTATGGCGTAACTTTAACATGTGTACGTGATGACGACAATACGTTTTGTGTTGAAAACTTTTTAACAATCGTGAAAGATCTTCTTCTTTATTGCGTCGTCTTTGTGGAAGCTAAGTCTCACTTGTTTGTTAGCTGTTGGGAGCTATCCAGCTCCTGGGAGGTGCACTGACTGGTGGAATAAATGTCAAAACATTAAAACTCACTTTATGTGACTAAAGTCGCTTTGCGCAATAATGGCTACACACAATCAATGCTCGTCGTAATGGCGCTTTGACGTTTATGTGTTTGGAAAATGCCTGCCAGTTTGCCGGTATCTCTTATCGTGGCGTAACGAGTCGTTCTTTCACGGGGATTTAATGGCGGAACTGAAGATGTGTGTGTAAAATTCATACATGTAATATCTTTGAACAGGAAAAGTTTTCGCAATTGTTGTCAGATAATAATAATCAAAGTCGGCTAAATTTGTTGCAAATAGTTTTCTATTTGTTAAATTGTTAAAAGGACTATTAGGGATCAGATTAAATAATTTAAAATATTTCTTTCGGGGATAAAACAAGGCATGGATTTTTGTAAAATATTTTTCTAGGGACAAACCTAGGCGTAGATTTTTAAAAATTATTTTTTCCACAAATAAGCCTAGGCATGGATTTTTAAAAATTATTTTTTCCACAAATAAGCCTAGGCATGGATTTTTAAAAATTATTTTTCTGGAGGAAAAACCTAGACTTGGATTTTTAAAAATTATTTTTCTGGGCAAAAAACCTAGGCGTGGATTTTTAAAAATTATTTTTCTGGGCAAAAAACCTAGGCGTGGATTTTTAAAAATTATTTTTCTGGGCAAAAAACCTAGGCGTGGATTTTTAAAAATTATTTTTCTGGGCAAAAAACCTAGGCGTGGATTTTTAAAAATTATTTTTCTGGTCAAAAAACCTAGGCGTGGATTTTTAAAAATTATTTTTCTGGGCAAAAAACCTAGGCGTGGATTTTTAAAAATTATTTTTCTGGGCAAAAAACCTAGGCGTGGATTTTTAAAAATTATTTTTCTAGGCAAAAAACCTTCGCGTGGATTTTTAAAAATTATTTTTCTGGGCAAAAAACCTAGGTGTGGATTTTTAAAAATTATTTTTCTGGGCAAAAAACCTTGGCGTGGATTTTTAAAAATTATTTTTTCGGGGAAAAATCTAGGCGTGGATTTTTAAAAATTATTTTTCTGGCAAAAAACCTAGGCGTGGATTTTTAAAAATTATTTTTCTGGCAAAAAACCTAGGCGTGGATTTTTGGAAATTATTTTTCTTGCAAAAAACCTAGGCGTGGATTTTTAAAAATTATTTTTCTAGGCAAAAAACCTTCGCGTGGATTTCTAAAAATTATTTCTTACAGGGAAAACCAAGGCGTGGATTTTTAAAAAATATTTTTTTCGGAGAAAAACCTAAGCGTGGATTTTTAAAAAATTATTTCTTTCGGGGAAAAACCTAGGCATGGATTTTTAAAAATTATTTTACTGGGCAAAAAGCCTAGGCGTGCATTTTTAAAAATTGTTTTTTTTTTCGGGGAAAAACCTAGGCGTAGATTTTTAAAAATATTTTTCTGGGCAAAAACCTAGGCGTGGATTTTTAAAAATATTTTTCTGGGCAAAAACCCTGGGCGTGGATTTTTAAAAATTATTTTTTTCAGCGAAAACCCTGGGCGTGGATTTTTTAAAATTATTTTTTTCAGCGAAAACCTTGGGCGTGGATTTTTAAAAATTATTTTTCTGGGCAATAAACCTATTTTAAAAATTATTTTTTCGGGGAAAAACCTAGGCGTGGATTTTTAAAAATTATTTTTTTCGGGGAAAAACCTAGGCGTGGATTTTTAGAAATTATTTTTTTCGGGGGAAAAACCTAGGCCTGGATTTTTAAAAATTGTTTTTCTGGGGGAAAAACCTATGCCTGGATTTTTAAAAATTATTTTTTTTCGGGGAAAAACCTAGGCGTCGATTTTTAAAAATTATTTTTTTCGGGGAAAAACCTAGGCCTGGATTTTTAAAAATTGTTTTTCTGGGGGAAAAACATAGGCGTGGATTTTTAAAAATTATTTTTCTGGTCATTTTCCATCCTCTTCTTGAGTTTTTGTACTGTTCCACTCTGCGTATGATTTATATCATCTCGTTATCCTATAGTGCGTATGACTATTATTATTTACATCTGCAAAGCCATTATTCATACGTTAAAAATTCTTCCCTCTCTTATCTTCTCCTCCTGCCCATTTATATCAAAATGTTGTAACATTAAAAGTTAAATTTTTCATTTCTCTTCTCCAAAAATGGTATGAAATTTATGCCAGTAAATATTTTCTGTTCATTATAAGTAGTCTCCAGGGTGTGGGGGGAGGTCGGGCAGTAAGTTAACTTTAATTTTGATTAAGTTTTATGAGACAAGCATGTCGGTAGGCCCTGAAGACAAGACAAGACAAGGAATGTGTCAGAGCATGAGAGGAGGGAAGGGGCAACAACAAGTATTCATTTTTATTAACAAGCATAACAAAGTCAGGACAACAAGGACCAACAAGGAAAATTGAACTGAACTGTGAACCTCAGACACTGAGTTGTCAACTTTTTTTGTTGAAGGTTCTGCTGCCATCAGAGATTCTATTATATATTTTTGATATAAGAGAGCAGGCAACACCACCCATCCACCCCAAAAGTCAGTTAGTCTTTGACCGATATAAAGACATCCGTCACAGAGCACTGCCAAGACAGCTAGAAGTGGCAAAAAGAAAAATTGAGAAGTCACAGACGGACGAAAAGCGGCAACTAGTTGAAGTTAAGTGACAAATTGACAGCAATTTGTTTTATTTTTACACTTTCCACAAGGAGCAGTAAATAAATTGGCTTCGCACTTTGGAGGAGATTGAAGGACCTCCGGGACGAATTGAAGGTTAATAAAGGACCTTTTACGTATTGAGATATAAAATTAGGGAGACAAATGCCGGATATAAAATAAATGTGTTTTTAGATTGGAAAATTTAGTCAACTCAGGTAGACCCCCCCCCCTTTCCCCTCCCCACATTAAAAATCCCTCAACCTAAAAAATAATTTTCGATATTTTTTTCGAATTTTTTCAATATTGATTATTTTTATTATTTGACAAATAGTGTGAGTTTATATAATTTTTATTCATATTCTCCACAATGGATATGCGATTTTTTGCAAAAAGTTTCCGATCCGCCTCATAATAATCCGATGGTCTCCTATAAATATTTGTGATGTTGTTGTTGCTGCTGCCGTTATTGTTACTGCTTTGCATAATATTCTGATTGAACTGCTGTTGGGCTTCATTCCGGCGCAATTCCTGCCTGGCCTGATATTCCCGATAGGCAAATGTGGGTATTTGAATGAAGAGAAAATAGAAGACTTCCACGGCACTGATTAGCGAGCAGCCCATGAAAAGACCCGCAATGCCGCCAAAGGCAACTGAAAAAAAGAGAAAATTAGTAAAATAAGAAATAATAGGAAAAACTTAAAGAAAAATAATTTTTAAAAATCCACCCCTAGGTTTATTTTCAGATAAAATTATTTTTAAAAATCCACGTCTAGGCTTATTGTCAGAAAAAAGTATTTTTAAAAATCCACGTCTAGGCTTATTGTCAGAAAAAATTATTTTTAAAATCCAAGCCTAGGTTTATTGTCAGAAAAAAATATTTTAAAATCCAAGCCTGGTTTATTGTCAGAAAAAATTATTTTTAAAAATCCACGCCTATGGTTTTCTCCGAAAAAAATAATTTTTAAAATTCCACGCCTATGGTTTTCTCCGAAAAAAATAATTTTTAAAATTCCACGCCTATGGTTTTCTCCGAAAAAAATAATTTTTAAAAATCCACGCCTAGGTTTTTCCACTGAAAAATAATTTTTAAAAATCCACGCCTAGGTTTTTCCACAGAAAAATAATTTTTAAAAATCCACGCCTAGGTTTTTGCCCAGAAAAATAATTTTTAAAAATCCAGGCCTAAGTTTTTCCGCGAAAAAAATAATTTTTAAAAATCCACGCCTAGGTTTTTCCACAGAAAAATAATTTTTAAAATTCCACGCCTATGGTTTATTGGGAAATATATAGTTTTTCCTCTTCTTATTATCGGAAAGATTTCCCCGTATATATCTGCCTTTTAAGCGGAACGCACAACGATATTCAATTTTATAGAATATTTATTAAGAAACAAATTGTTGTTAACAAATTGAAATTCAGAACAAGACAATTATACAATTAAATTGTTTGACATTTTCAAACTAGAAAATCACAAAGCTTTTCAAAGAAGGATATGTTTGTTGAAATAAATTAAAACAAAGTATTTTCAAACAAAGTGTTTTTCCAACACTCCACCACAACATGCATATTCTTCCCGTTTTGATTTACTTCAAATTGATTAGACTGACAAATTTTTGATGTTTCGACTTTGCTAGGTTTTTTGTAAATATGTCGGCAACCATATCATTCGTTGGACAATAAACCAATTTTATTGTATTTGATTTTATTAAATCTCTTATGTGATGGTATTTGATGTCCACATGTTTTGTCCGTTTATGATGAACCGGGTTATATGCCAATTGCAAAGCACCTTGATTGTCGACATTGATAGGAACGCGGTTTTCTTGCAGAAATCCCAGTTCGTGATGTAATCGACTTAAATATACAGCTTCCTTCGATGCGTTAGAAGTTGACACATACTCTGCTTCGGTACTGCTCAAAGCGACAATATCTTGTTTCTTGGATTCCCAAGAAATCACACAATTTCCAATAAAAAATACTGATCCAGAATATGACTTTCTATCTGCAGTACATCCTCCCCAATCAGCATCTGCGTAACCAATGAGTTTGCCATTTCCACAACTAAAGTGAAGTTTCATATCTTTAGTACCTTTTAAATATCTTAGAATGTGTTTTGCTGCTGTCCAATGTTCTAAGTGTGGATCCGCATTTCTTTGCGAAAGCTTGGTAACTGAATGGAGTATATCAGGGCGAGTTGTCAGAGCCAAGTAAAGCAGGGAACCGATCAAAGATTGGTATTCGGTGGGATCTATTTTCCTGCATTCACCTTCACAATTACTTTGAAAACCAGGAGTCAGTGGCACTGAAACTGGTCTACAATTCTCCATACCGTACTCCTTTAACATTTCGTTTATGAAATTAGTTTGAGATATTTTAATTTCACCGGTTTTTCCATCTCGATGAAACTCCATTCCTAGGAAGTGCTCTAACAGTCCTTTATCAGTCACATCGAAATTGGTTGCAATTTCTTCCTTAAGTTTCAAAATTTCGTTTTCATTTTCACATCCAACTATTAAATCATCCACATAGACAGCTATTAACATCAAATGACCGTTTCGATTTGATTTATACATACAAGGTTCGTTGTCACATCTGAGAAATCCTATCTTGCACAGAAAGTTATTTAGCGTTAAGTTCCATTCCCGACCCGCTTGTTTAAGGCCATAAAGGGATTTGTTTAAGCGCAGAACTTTATTTTTGTTTTTTTCATCGATAAATCCTTCTGGCTGACGCATATAGATTTCTTCGTGCAATTCTCCGTTTAAATACGCCGTGACTACATCTAGTTGATCTAAATGCATTTTGTGTTCTACCGCTAAAGCTAGTAACATTCGAATAGTGGAATATCTTACCACTGGCGAAAATGTTTCATTGTAGTCTATGCCGAATTTCTGACTACAACCTTTAGCGACTAGCCGTGCCTTATGTCGCTCCACCTGTCCTTTCCTATTTTTCTTGATTGCAAAAACCCATTTGCAATTGATTGCCTTACATCCATGCGGAAGATCTTGCATTGTCCACGTATTATTTTGATGGTGTGATAACATTTCATTTTCCATGGCTTGTTTCCATTTAGCAGATAATTTACTGGATGTTGCTTCTTTATACGTTTTAGGAATACCATCCTCCACCACATTATTCAGTAAGTTATGTTCTTTTCGGGGTCGACCAGGTTTACCAATTCTAATAATCTTTGGTCTACCTCTTCCTCTTTGAACAGTTGCAGGTTCAGGATTTTCTTGCTCATCTGAAGAAGTAAATCCGAAAAAATCTTCTGTATCTTGAAAATTGTCATCCGAACTTGAATGTTCCTCATTGAGTTCTATATTAATTTTCTGTGTTTCTTCCACTTCGGTAGATTCCAGAGATTCAAAATTTTCAGGTGGCACATAAAAATACAATTCTGGTGTTTGCTCTTGTGATTTTTCTAATGCCTTATCTTCATCAAAAATGACGTCCCGTCTTTCCATAACTTTTTCAGATTTAGGATCGTAGAGCCTATTGGCTTTAGACACTAATGAGTATCCAACCATGACCATTTTCTCGCCTTTTTCTTGAAATTTTCCTCTTGCGTTTTTGTTCAGCGCAACAGCTTTAGAACCAAAAACTCTCAAATGATTAACACTTGGTTTCCGCCCAGACCATACCTCCATTGGAGTAGTATTTTCCAAACTTTTTGACGGACTTCTATTTCTTAGATATGTTGCAGTGGCAACCGCTTCGGCCCACAATCTTTGATCAAGCCCTGATTCAATAAGAAGACAACGTCCCATTTCAACTAATGTACGATTTGCTCTCTCCGCTACACCATTTTGTTGTGGGGTGTAGGGAACAGTTAATTGTCGTTTAATTCCATTAGTTTCAAGGTACTTGTTAAATTCGTTGGAAAGATATTCTCCACCATTATCGCTTCTTAATGCTTTAATTTTGCAACCAGTTTGCAACTCCACCATGGCTTTGAATGTCTTAAACTTTTCGAAAACTTCTGACTTTTTCTTCATAAAATATGTGAATATTCTGCGGGATTTATCATCAATAAATGTCACGAAGTACTTTGATCCACCTACAGAATCAACTTTCATCGGACCACATACGTCGGAATGAATTACTTCAAGCAGTTCCTTTGATTTTCTCTCCGATTGTTTGGGAAAAGATGCAGCGTGGATTTTCCCAATCATGCACACATCACATTTCTCGCCACTGTGTGAATTGAATGTCATGCCATTGACCAAATTCTTAGAAGATAACTCTTTCAGGTTTTGATAATTTAGGTGGCCAAATCTTCTATGCCATAGACTATCGGAAGTATTAATAGAAAAAATTTGGTTACTTACAGGTTGAGCATCGAAGACGAACAAATCATTTTTCCTGGCAGCTCTAAAAAGTGTACGGCCTTCATCCGTAATCACAGCACCATTTTTGAAAAAATTCACCGAACATCCATTTTCAACCATCTTGTTTACGGAAATAAAGTTTCCATTCAATTCAGGACAATAGATTACATTCTTCAGTTTAATCTTGCATCCGTTTACTCGCAATTCGACGAATCCTTTTCCTTTGGCTTGGATGACTTTCTTGTCTGCTAACATAATGGTCTCTTCTGAATCTTCAAGACTTGTAAAATAATTCTTCATGGAGCACATATGGCTTGTCGCTCCACTGTCGACACACCATTGCATTAAATCATTTTCTGTTTGCGTTCCGGCTGCAACAGCGATTACTGTGAATGATTTATGTTCACCATCTTTGAACTTGCATTTGTTAGCGTAGTGACCTTTTTTACCACAAACAAAACATGCACCCTTTTCATTTCTTCGATCACCTTTCTTACCACCATTTTTTTTTTTGCCTTGACACCAACAGCTCCGAATGCTTGCTGATTTGTAGATACGCTTCCATTTGTACTTTGTTCTCGCCGATCCCATTCTTCCAGCAATTTCTGTTTTAGAACCATAAGCGTAGGAAGACTGTCCCTTGTTTCCATGGCAATTACAAAATTGTCAAAATCCTTTTCCAAACTCGACAATAGGATTATTACCAAAAGTTCCTCCTGGATTTGTATACCAGCTTCTGCCAATTGATCTGAAATACTAGAGAATTTGTTCAAATATTCAGACATATTTGAGCTGTCCTTCATGCTGAGATTTAATAGCTTCTTATACAATGACACTTTTTGCATAGGACCACTATGTTTATACACATCCTTTAGCTTTTCCCAGGCATCATTTGACGTACTGCAATTCTTGATATAGTTCAGCTGCGAAGGCTTCACACAAAGAGTCAAAGAAGCAAGAGCCTTTTCATCAACATCATCCCATGCTTGTTGTTGTTCTGCAGTCAAATTCGGGATTTTCTTCGCATCACCATTTACATGTTTCCAGCATCCTGTGTGAATTAGCACACTGCGCATTTGCACGGACCATGTCTCATAGTTATGTTCATCTAGCTTCTCAATCTGGAACATTGGAGACGTCGCCATGGCAATTCTTTTCTATGTTCTTGCGTTAACCACAAAATCCAATTCCGCTTAAAATAGACCACAACGCCCTGGGCCCATAACCTATTGGGAAATACATAGTTTTTCCTCTTCTTATTATCGGAAAGATTTCCCCGTATATATCTGCCTTTTAAGCGGAACGCACAACGATAT